ATAGTGAGATCGATCGTGGGACCGAATGCAAAAACGATTGTGAAAGCGATAGTCAGATCGATTGTGAAATCGATGGTGAGATCAATAGTCATATCGATTGTGAGATCGATCGAATAAAATAGATCGAGCGAGATCGATTGTGGGATCGATCGGGTGAGATCGATCGAGCGAGACCGATAGTGAGATCGACAGTGAGACCGATCGGGTGAAACGTTGGTTCCCCCCCCACCGAACCTCCTTATCACCCGAAGGGTGGTCGTACAGGGGTGTGTATGTTTGTATATATATATATATATATCGGAGGCGAGGGGGTGAGATCGAAGTGGAAAGGAGAGCCCCCTCTACCGGCAAATCGGCTTCGGTTTCGTGTTTGCGCGTGCCGTGCGCGCGGGCGAGGCGAAGCTGCGTGGGCGGGCGAAAAGAAAGTCTCCTCCGGCCGAGGCGCGGCCGGACCAAATGTTTCCTTTCTGGGGGCCGGTTGGGCGCGGTGTCCCGCCGGTGTCCCGCGTCCGGCTGAGGCGCGGCCGGACCAAATGTTTCCTTTCCGGGGGCTGGTGGGGCGCGGTGTCCCGCCGGTGTCCCGTCGGTGTCCCGATGATGATGATGATGATAAAATGATGGTGATGGTGGTGAAGATGATACTGCCAAGATGATTACAATGATGATGCTGACGATGCTGATGATGATGGTAAATATGGTGGCGATGTTGGTGGCGTCCCGATGATGAAGATGTTGGTGATGACGATGTTGCTGATGATGACGATGGTGTCCCGATGATGATGACAATGATGGTGGCCCTGATAATGTGGATGATGATGAGATGATGATGAGATTATGATGATGGTGAAGATGATGATGATGGTGTCCCGATGATGTTGATGAGATTGATGATGATGCTGTTGATGATGGTGGTGATGATGATGGTGTCCCGATGATGATGATGATGATGTTGGTGATGCTGATGGCGACGATGGTGTCCCGAAAATGACGATGTTGATGATGAGGATGATGATGATTTTGATGATGGTAGCCCGATGATGGTGATGATGACGATGATGATGTTGATGCTGCGGGTGTTCCGATGACGATGAGGATGATGGTGATGATGATGGTGGCGATGATGATAATGTCCCGATGATGATGCCGATGGTGATGATTATGTTGCTGATGATGATGGTGATGTCCCGATGATAATGATTTTGATGATATGGTTCATGATGATGATGGGATGATGATGGCGGTGGTGATCCGATGAGGATGATGGTGTCCCGATGATGATGTTGATGATGATGGTGACGAGCATGGTGTCCCGATGATGATGATGGCGATGATGATGTTGATGATGGTGATGGGGTGATGATGATGATGCCCCGATGATGATGATAATGTTGGTGACGTTGATGATGATCATGTTGATGAGGATGAGGATTGTGAGATGACTTGTGATATCGATAGTGAGATCGATAGCGAGACCGAATATGAGATCGAATGTGATATCGATCGTGAAATCGATAGTCAGATCGAGTGTGAGACCGATCGAATGACATAGATCGAGTGAGATGAACTGTGAGATCGATCGAGTGAGATCGATCGAGCAAGACTGATAGTGAGATCGATAGTGAGACCGATCGAGCGAGACGTTGGTTCCTCTCCCCCATCCTTCTTATCGCCCGAAGGGTGGTCGTATAGGTGTATGTATACATATACATACATATATATATATATATATAGCCTGGGCGCTCTCTCCACTGACCAGATGATGCCATTTATCGCGAGGCGAGCGCGAAGGCGCCGCATCAGGGCCGCTGCTGACGATATTCAGACTGCAGTAGGATACAGGACAGAGTGCAAACGCATGAGAGCGAGCAGGACGCACACACCCATCGAAAGCGGGACAGAAAAAAAGGCGGGTGGGAGCCTTGAGAATTACGGAACGCGCGTGCACGTGCGGCCCGCTGTGACACTACTCGGCTCAAAGTGGTGAACACATCCAGCCCGGGCGCTCTCTCCACTGACCAGATGATGATATTTATCGCGGGGCGAACGCGAAGGCGCCGCATCGGGGCCGCTGCTAACGAGATTCAGACTGCAGTCGGATACAAGACAGAGTGCAAACGCATGAGAGCGAGCTGGACACACGCGCCCGAACCCGCGCGGGAAGTTTGGCCAGACATGGCCGCATTACAGGCCCAACGAAAGACCTTTGAGCCTATGAGTCTCCGAATTCTCAGCTGCCTGGGCCCAGCAACGCGCGGCAGCGGCGGCGCGCGGGATAGGATACGGAGTGGCTATGCTCGTCCACTTGCGCCCACCCAAAGAATTCCCGGATAGCTCGATGCGACGCTTTTTGGCGAGGGAACAGAATCCATGCTTGCCAGGGCAGCGCTTGCAGATCGACGACGGACTGCCGCCGTGCCAAACAGCTATTCTAATTCCTCTCTTCCAGGGGACATGGTGCTGGCACAAATCGCAGCAGGCATCGAAAAATACTGGGCTACTCAAGGGCTGTCTCATCTGCGGAGCCCACCACATGACTGACGAACGCGGGTTTTCGAGAAACACCGGGATGTTGGAAGCAATGCAGATCTTTACGAGCACAACGCTGAACAGGAACGTGGCACTACCGATCCTCAGCCGCTCGCGCTCGGATAGTCAGACCCGAGACGCCGAACGGCTGGTCGCTGCCGCGAAAAGGGCGGCGCAACGCACGTGTCCAGGATGCGCAGGGCGCGCCGAGCCAGACCTGCGATGCAACCTGAAGTTAACCATCCGATGATCACCCGCTGAAAGGCAGGGCCAAGGCGATCCTCGCGAGCTTTGTGAAGGATGTCCAAAGAGAGAGCGCGATAGCCAAGCCGATTGATCTCAGCTGCAATTCTGCCACTGCCGGCGAAGAGCTCTAAGAAGACAAGATGTTTCATGGACCTGGGGCGTGGGCCGCCACGCGCGCGGAGAGCGCGCTGAAGATACCGGCGAACCTCATGCTCTAGAAATTCACCGGGGGCGCGCGTGTCACGCGGACGCCTGGGCCCAGCGCCGTCGCGATCCGCGGCGGCAGCCGCGCTGGCGACCTCGGGCTCGAGAAGCCCTCGGACATCACGTTGGAGAAGTTCGCCTCGACAGCCCTCCCGAGCACGAACGCGTCCTCGGGCGCCTTCGCCATCTCGAGGAGGAGGCGCGTCGTCTTGCCATACTTCTTGAGGCTCGTGATGGTCGCCCACCTGCCCCTGACCTTCACCCGCCCTGCGCCCGCGCGCCCGCGACGAGGTCGTCGCTGGCGCCGCCGCGGCGCAGGGGGCGCTGGTGCAGCGACAAGGACTCGAGGCCCGGGATCTCCACCAGCAGCGCGAACTGCTTCTGGAGCTCGGCGGGCGCGAAATCCCACAAGCTGCCGTCCGCGAGCGACTGGGCCTTGAGCGCCTCGAAGCACGGCAATAGCCAGCCGCGCTGGTCCAGCAGCGCCGCTGAGTCGAACGCCCCAGTCTTGCCTGGGTCGCCCAGCGTCGCGTCGTGGAGCAGCAGGCCCCGCGAGCTGCGCTGCTGGCCGGCCGCCGTCTTGGGAGCGACCAGGTGCCTGCCGAGCAGCAGGGATGCCTCGCGCGGCCCCGGATTGCACACGAACGCGATCACGATCCACAGGCGCATGCGCGGGGAGCCCAGATGGCGGAGGCGCCCAGCCAATGCCGTGGCAGCCGCTCGGGGGAGTGGCAACCTCATACGAAGCGGGACCCGCCTCCGCCAGGCCACGAGACAGCGGCTGGCCCGAGGAAGCTTCTCGGTCGTCATCTTGCACAGCTCCGGGGGGAAGCGCGACGGGCTCGCCATGAGCTTTGGCCCGTCCTCGACGCTCGCACCCTTCAGGAACTGCGCATTGGAGAAGCCGACCAGCAGGTGATCCAGATCGCTGGTGCTGCCCCAGTCCGCGCGGGGGCCCTGGCAGTACTTGGCGAAGCTCGTCGCGGCGCCCAAGTAGGGGACCTCCGCCCCCGGCTTCGCGGACAGGCTCTCCAAGGGGCTGAGGCCGCCCGCGGGAGCGCGGCGCCCAGTCAGGCGCGAAGCCGACGCAGCTCTCTGGGCCTTCAGAACACCTGCCTTCGAGCAAGGCTTCGCCCGCTGGCGTGGGCGCGGCAGCGTCCTTGCCTTGGGCGCCATGGCCGACGCCGGGCTCGTGGTGGCCGAGGGGGGCGACGTCGCCCGCGACAGGTCGCTGGCGCCCCGGAGCCTACAGGATTGGAGCCTAAAGCCGCGTGCGCAAGCCGAAGAGGAAGGCGAGGTCCAACGAACCAGCCGAGCATGCCCCTGGAAGGTATGTCGGCTGGGTTCTTCTCCGACGGGATCCACCGCGCGTGAAATCTCGCGCCCGAAACCAGCGAAGGACATGCTAGCTTCCGAAGGGGCCGAAGTAGGCGATGAGAAGCCCCGCGGCCCTTGCAGGCCGGCAATGCCAGTGGGAGGTTGTCAACCAGCATGACCGCCCGACGATTGCAGGCCTCCGACGTCCTCAGGATGTGCTTGGCGGCCACCATCAGGGCCTTCCCCATCGAGCTCCAGGATGTTGGCACTCACGAGGACCTTCGAGGCCAGCGCGGTGATCCATGGGGCCTTCAGAACGGTGATCCAGGGCCCCGGAGACCTCAAGAAACTTCTGGAGCCCCTCGGTGTCGTCGTCGCCGCCGACCCCCATCGCCGTTGTTGTTGCGCATCAGAGGGGCCCCGCAAGAGCCCCCTGGGCAACTATCAGGAGCCCCAAGACCATGAGCACCACCGACCGGATTATGATGAACGTCACGATGCTCCAACGCATGTTTTCTGGCACGCTCTGCGCCTGCCACCCGGCACCTCCGGCGCCTCCGGCGCCCCGCATATCTGCCTACCTCGCCAGACCGCTCCGGCGACGCAACGCTCGTACAAACACCGATGCCGAAGAGGGAGGCGTCTGATGCTGCGATGACGCTGTGCCAAGGGAGATCGATCTTTGTGGAGAGGAGGGGCAGGATGGATCAGAGCGTCCAGAGCTCTTGCCGCGCCCGCGGCCAAAGCTTCTGGGGCTGGCTGCCGGCTGACTGCGTGAACTGGCACGATGCACAGAACGCCGAGGGCACCTCTCGACGCAGCAGCGAAGCCCAGGTCACATGGCCCATCACAATCTGGAGCGCGGAGCCACTGCAGACCCCCCGACGGAGTAGCGATTCGACCCCGAACCTGAGGTGCCACATGTTGGAGGGCTTAATGGAAATCTTGGAGCCTTCGCTAAAGTTCAACCACGCGAGCGATATGTCACGACTCGCTGCGCTCAACTCGCGCGCTGTCAAGCCGAGGGATAACAGCCGACGGCAAACCCCGTCTAGGCTCGACTCAGCAGCCTTGCGGTCGGAGCCCATCACCATGAAATTATCAACATATACAGCGCAGGCCGTGTCCGAGCGCGAGGAGAGCGAAACCGCGGGCAGGCAATCCTCGACGATGCGAGACGAGTCGCGCCCCTCGAGCTTCAGGGCACGCTGCAACACACCTTGACAGATATGAGGAGCACAGGACCAGCCCACGGGGAGCACACATACACGCGGAGAACTCATTTCGTTCGGCGAGACCGGGACCCAATCGACGTCGACGACACCTAGACGCCTAGCTGCGATAGCCAGAAGCCTAAACATCTCGTCGGGCCCCTCTGGAATGGCAAGCCTATGAAAAAGCGCACTCGGTATCACCAGCTGCAAAGAACGCGCCCCGCCCCGCGTTCTCGAACCCCGAGAAGGCCCCGGGGGTAGGGGGTCGAGTGCGGGGCGGGCCAATAAAAATTGCATTCGCTGATCTAGTATCAAAGATGAGCCCGATGTCGCCAGACTTTTTGGCGACGAAGAAAGTCCCGACAGTAGCTTTGCGATTGGCGGCCCTGCGATGCCTCGCCATCCCTCGCTGCCCGTCAGCAACGAAGTCGCCATAGGCAAGAGGGTTGTGCTGTGCTTCAAAACTGGGTCCGCGCAGGGGCCGTTCGGGCACAGTTCCGACCGCAAAGAATCAGCGCCAGCCGGAGGTCTTCGCATGTGATCGCGCCAGCGACCGAGCCGCTTCGAGGCGGCCTGCGCGAGGCACTCAGACAGACTAGTTGGTAGGTTACCACGCGCAGGCCAAGAAACCTTGCTCTTGACATTCGGCCTTCCTCAGAGTAGAGGCCTGACCCAGCAAAGAGCGCGTCGAGGGCCCCCTTGCGAAAATCGGGGTCGTCGGGAAGCGGCGGCGCACTGAGGCAAGCCGACTCAACGCGTCGCAGGGCCGCCTCCTGGCCAGCGCTCCGCACTTCAGCAGAGGGGGTGCAGAAGCCAAAAAATTGGTTGAGGCTGGAGGTCCCGTCAGCGGCCCAGTTCAGCGCGCACGCGCGAGCTGCGAGCCAGCCTGCGAGCTGCGCCACGAAAGAGCTTCGAGCCTACAGACCGAGGAGGACTACGACAGCTGGGCAGAGGCAAAAGGAAAAATATCTCGGTACCGTCCCGGGCACTGCAAACCTGCCTCCGCGCAGCTAAATTCGGCTCGCGCAGGAGCGCCAGCCGAGGCAGGGGCTGGCGAGGGAAACATCACCCTGCTCCTGCTGGCCCTTGGGGCCCCTCTTGGGGCGCGCGAGAATGCGTTCCTCGCGCGCCTTCCTACGCTCCTTCACCACGGCGGACTCTTTTGCTAGTTCGGCGGCAATCCACTCGCTGAGAGCTGGCATGACACAGAGATTCCCTCGGACCAGATCAGTCCCACGCGCGAGATTGGCATCAAGCCTGCCGTCGCTGCCACCGGCCACCTTCTCCCGATGGCGCTCCTCAGCAACCTGCACTTCACGAGCGGCTATCTCCGCAGCCGCAAGGTTAGGAGCATTCACTTGATCATAACAGGCAAGAGTCTCTAGCAATCTACGTCCGCCCTCATGCGACTCGACACCTGGATCTCCAGGCTGCAGGCGGCAATCCGCGCGCCACTTGTTGCGCCAGCCCAACGGAGTACCTCCATTTGAGAGCATGAACCTGCAAACCCACAGTGTCGTCCACGGCCCTCTGATCGGCCAGTCCGGCCACGGATCTTCCGTGAGGAAAGAGAGAGAGAGAGAGAGAGAGAGAAAGAGAGAGAGAGAGAGAGAGAGAGACAGCTTCCCGGAATGTACGAAAGCACTGGCCAGTAGCATCATACATGACAGGGCTAGAGCGAGCGTCATAGACCAGCAGGCGGCAGAGGCACTCCTGCGGCGGCGGGCGCCGGAAGAGGAGCCGCACCAACAGGTGCAGCGCCCCCACCCCCAAGGCCATCCGCCCCGGCGGCAGGAGCGGCTCCTCCGCCAGCGGCCCCGCCTGCACCAGCAGCGGGCGCGGGTCCGAGCGCGGCTGCACGCCGCGCCAGTCCCCCTCCAGGAGCTGGCGCGGGCCCGCCCGCGGCGGCTCCGCCGCCCGCGGCAGGCAGCAAAGCGGCGGGAGGCGCGGCTGCTGGCATAGCCCCCGCGATCAGGGCCCCCGCATCCGGACC